AAAATGCATGACTTTAAATGAAAGATGAAATTCTAGACTACTATTCTGCCTAAGGTGTGAAATCTGTAGCCACAGATTGTGTTACAACCATAAAATAGCAATAAAATAGTAAATATTCTTATATGATAAAGGGCATAGTCTGTCTGCCTGTCTATAATGCTCTTGGACCACTCTGATTGGTTAGGGAAGCAACCAGTCAGAGTGCAGAGTGCCACCATGATGGTGGGGAAGAAAGGGACAGAGGGGACGGAGCAGAGGGGTAAGACCAGCACTGCTGGCCTCGCCCCCCCTCCCCCCCTCTTTCCCCTCCATCCCTGCCATCATGGTGGTGCTCCACTGCCTCTGAGGAGCAGGGCTGGGGGAGGGGGGGAAAACCAGTGGCACTGGCCTCACCCCCCCCCGCTCCATCCCCTCCATCCCGTCCCCACGAATTGCCCGTCAAGAATGATGGCCGCAGCATGGGGTGCTGGCAGAGGGGGATGGAGGGGATGGTGGTGTAAGCTCCCCCCCACCTTCTCCTGGGAGGCGGCAGTGACACAGGGTGGTAGGTAATGGAGCTCCATCCCTGCCAGCCACCATCGTTCTTGATGGGCAATTCGCTAGTTAGTAGTATAGCAGGTTTGATGAGCTCCGAGAGAACCAAAAAACAAGGGTTTTTTATAGAAATACTATAGAACTAAATTTAAAACCTGGATATTCCTTTCACACCAGAAACTTATATTAGGAATGACACAGGTAAAAGTCAGGGCTTATAAATTCTCATATGGTGTTGTTCCTTTGTGCTGCACTTGTACTCAAACAGCTTATTGTGCAATGGAAGAAAACCTAGTCACCCACAAATGCTGATGACCAGCAAAGCTTACCAGAAACAATAGTGTTTTACATGTGTACAATATGAAGTATTTTATGTTTCAAGACTCCACATTACCTTCATTTCGATTGCTTATCCTTCTTTATTCAGGGTGAACATTTTTATTTTATATACAAGTATGGTGGTTAAGAGGTATGTGCAAAACGTCATCATTTTTCTATGTCACTTACTGCATGTTATCGCTTCTGTGGTTAAGGCGCTAAAAGATCTTTCCCCACGATGTTCTTGCTTTTTAGGTTCAGTTAAGTTCCTGAAGTAGTTAAGTATAGATGATTGCTATTTGATAGTTTTGCCAACCAGCTCCAATGGTGCCACAAACTCAACCAAGAGGCAGTCCACTTTGAGGTAAAATGTCTTGCCCATGAAACAGAGAAAACAGAGCAGAGGAAGGAAAAGGAGAGGAATCCCAGGCTGCAGCTTGTAGAAAGACCTGCAACTACTACACATAGATTCCTGGCTCAAGGATTGGACTCTTAAGTCACCTCAAGACCCTTCAATGAGTAGTGGCAAAGATTATCCTCAAATTGAGGGACTGCTGACAACAAATTTGCTGTCAATTTCTGTCCTTGATTGGAACAATATCTTATATAGCCAAATAAGCAGGGCAGCACTGGAAGAGGCTGACAAACCCAACAGCATCTGGTAGAACTGAGTTGTGCTGGCAGGAAGAGAGATAGTATATGGACAACTGTGCTGCAGTCCCATCTTCTTTGTTTGCTACCAGGACCCCTTCTTTTTGTCCAATTCTTCTTACAACAGGATTCCCTTACAACCTTCTTATCAGTAATTATTTCAGTGCCCTGGAAAAATAATGTCAACCCCCCACTTTAAGAGAAGTTAAAAAGGGTCTTCACTTGAACTACAGAGCCACAAGTCAGTGACTAATTTGACTAGATATTAATAGTGTTATTTGGACTCTGTACAAAAACTGTGTTAAAATGGGTTTTCAACCAATCCAAGAGAATTTTACAGCCTCTTCATGTACCCAGAGAAATAAGCCACTCATGCCAGGGGTTTAAGCATCTGTTTGACTTCAGTCATGCTTATACCTTTAAACCTGTACTGAACTGAACCAATCGTGTGATTTTATATGCCTATTTGCAAGGTTAGAAATGGACAAAAACACCACAAGAAAGTTATGATGGCCTGTATTTTAACTGTTCAACAGAAATTCTTATAGGCTAAACTGAAAAATTAATTTAATCCACAATCACTGTATTAATCTTCGCAACCAGATTGTTATATTTCTGTTGTTTTGTAAACTGGGACACCTTTTAAGAAAAGATGCTGATGCAAAAGTATGTTAAATGGTTTTAATATAAAAAAAAAAAATCAACAATTTAAAATATTTTTACATTATTCCTGTTTAAATATTGGTAACAAATTATGGGTTTTCTTAACTAGTGATATTTTTAAATTTTTACAAATGGGCAGTTTATCAACATAAATGCATTTACTATTTATTGTTGCTCTAAATCTCTTAACGTTGATTAAACAAAATATGCTTTATTTAGTTAATATAAGTATTAATATTCCTTTTTTTACTTCTTTCACAAAACCATTACATCTTGTAACTTCGGGTATGGACACATGAATGTCAGGAGCCCTTTCAAAAACGGAACAATTCAGAAGGGCAGCAGCTTCTATGTTCTAATTCTTGTGTGTGAATGATCTGAAAATGATTCAAATGCAGCAAAACCAGCTCCAATTTTGACACGCCTTCATTGAGGTTTAAAGTTGGAGTAGCTTTGCTGCATTTGAATAATTTTTGGCTTATTCACATATAATAATCAGAAAGTACCTGCTGCTGCCTTTGGGTGCAAACAAGCTGGCACAGGATAGGCAGCTTACTACCTGATGCAAGCATTTGTATGGACAGCTGGAGGCAATAAGTCCTGGGGGGAGTGGGATGAGAGGGAAGTAAGGAGGGGAGCAGCTGGTGGGTCCACAAGGGGTATTGCCCAGGCCAGGGGCATGCTCATGGACAGAGGGGGTACAAACATCACTGCTCCAAGGCTGTGGAGAGTGGCTGGGCTTTCTCAGCCAAGGGCTGTGTTGGTCACCCATGCAAGCATCCATTAGGCTAGGCTAAGCCATGCTAGGTCAGGTTAACCCATGCCAATCTAAACTTAGTTCTCATCTGATGAGAACTAATTTTAGTTCAGGTAAGCCATTTTTAGGGCAACCTAAGCCCTGTGAATACTTGCACACCCAGCCATGTAGATCACCCTGGCTAGGGACAGACATTCAAAAAGCCTGAGCCTGAATTGATTCAATCTTTGCAGGTTAGTCTAACCTAGCTAGGCTAAATCAGTTTTGTAACCAGACAGACATTCCAGAAATGCAGGCACATGTCTGCAGTGACTCAGGCTAGAAGATGGGGGGGCACTAGGGCAGCCCTCCCTTCCCTTGCACAGGGCTGAGTGGAAGGGGGCATGGTCAGGCCATGGCAGGACACTGTGATTAGGGAGGGGTGTCCTCCAGCCTTGATAAAAGAGCATTTATCAGCTCTGTTATCAGCATTTAACACTCCATCAGAAAACAAAGCCTCGCTCATTACAAGCTCTTCTTAAACAGTTTTTTCCAAAGGAAAATGCATACCAGCCTCTGGCTTCCTTACTATTCATTCCATCCAGGAAAAGCACACACAACTGCAGATGCTTCCTCAGACTGATGAAGTATTTTCATAGTTTCATAGTTTTAGGGTCGGAAGGGACCTAATAGATCTTCTAGCCCGACCCCCCGCCAGGGCGGGAGAACAACCCAAAAACACAAACAAAACCACTCACCCTAAAAACAAAAACGGGACTCAAATGAGTCCAGCCAGGTAAGTATCCAGCCTCTTCTTAAAGATCCCCAGGGTAGGGGCCAGCACCACCTCCCTTGGAAGTTGGTTCCAGCTCCTAGCCGCCCTAACTGTGAAGTAGTTTTTTCGGATGTCCAATCTGTACCTCCTCTCCATCAACTTGTGCCCATTACTCCTTGTTATGCCAGCGGGGGCTAGGGGAAACAGCGTCTCCCCCAAACCCTTCTGGTTCCCCCTAGTGAGTTTATAGACGGTCACCAGGTCCCCCCTCAGCCTTCTCTTGTGGAGGCTGAATAGGTTCAGGTCCCGCAGTCTCTCACTGTAGGGTCTGCCCTGTTGTCCCCGGATCATGCGGGTGGCCCTCCTCTGGACCCTCTCCATGTTGTCCACATCCCTCCTGAAATGGGGCGCACAGAACTGGACACAATACTCCAGCTGCGGCCTGACCAGCGTCGCATAGAGGGGGAGGATCACCTCCCTGGCTCTACTCGAGATGCACCTGTGGATGCACGACAAGGTCCGGTTAGCCCTGCCAACCATGACCTCGCATTGTCGGCCCATGTTCATCTTGGAGTCAATAATGACACCAAGATCCCTTTCCGCCTCCGTGCTCTCAAGTAGGGAGTTCCCCATCGTATAAGTGTGCTGCTGGTTCCTACTACCCAAGTGCAGCACCCTGCACTTGTCCGTATTGAAACACATCCTGTTCCTGTTTGCCCACCCCTGTAACCTATCCAGATCCTTCTGCAATCTCTCTCTCCCTGCTAGCGTGCTCACCTCCCCCCAAATTTTGGTGTCATCAGCGAATTTAAACAGGTTGCTTTCCACCCCAACATCAAGATCGCTGATGAAGAAATTGAACAGCGCAGGCCCCAGGACCGAGCCCTGGGGGACTCCACTACCCACCTCCCCCCAAAGGAAGGAATGCAGAGACGTGACCATCTGAGCTTTTGATTACTTCCAAAAAGCCCTAAGCAGACAGTGTCCTATCTGCCTTACACAGCATTAGCTAGCATACCACATGCTGGCTACAGTCTGTGCTGTGGGAGAGGAGGAAGGGATCTCTGCTTAGGCAGCGAGGGGGTTGGGCAGGGCATGGGAAAGCCAGCAGCCCCTGCTGTGCCTGCAAGTCTCTGCTGGAACTCCAGCCAGTGAGCAGAGGGGAGGGGCCAGCTCTGCTCGGAGCAGAGAGCCCCTCCCACCCCAGAGAGCATGCCAGGATGCTAGGGGTGTCTGGTTTAGCGTAAACCAGCAAAGGGTCTGGGACAGACATTGTATAAACCAATTTGACCCAAGTCAGTTAAGGCTGATACTACATTCAACCAGGTTTATCTCAAACCAGTGTCAGCCATTTTCAAACTGGTTTATGTGCACCGAACATCTCTTCTGTTACAGGTTTAAACCAGTTTCTGATCACTTAAACCAGTTTGTGTGTAATGTCTATCCCTGAGGTCTAATATCAGTTACAGCTTTCTAAATGTAATGCTTGTACACAGCCTTCATGAAATGTTCCCCTTCTGCAAGAGCTCCAAGAGTTCCTCTGTCCACACCCTTTAAGTCTTTTTCACTTGTACTGATGTAATATTCTGTAGTGGCAAATTCATTCAGAGACTCATGTACACAAGTTCTCATAATTGGCAACAACTTTCATGTCTCCTTTCACACACCTCTGTGGTTCTTAGCTGTGCCAATATAAGCTTTCTGGAAGCCTTCCAGCGTAGTACCTCTGAAGACCAAAGTCAGCTACACATCTCTTTACGTTATCAATCTTGCTGCACTTCTAGCTTTGTTCCTAGTATAGACCCCGAACCAGCACAGCACTTAATAGGCTTAAATCTAACCATGCAGGATGCCCCATTAAAGTCAATGAGACTATTTGTTCTTAAAAGAGAACCTTTGCTGACCTGAAGCCTCGTGCACAGTCTTCACCCAGACACTGTGGGTTAGTGTTAAGTTTACAAAGTTTTTCGCTGCACACTTGGATTCACTCATCCACACCTCAGACATCAAAATAACAGTCCCTTATCCAAAAGCTACCGCTTAGTGGGAACAAGTTCAAGTGGTCTTATCCAACATCCAGGTGCTAAGGGAAAG